GGATAGGCCGCAGCGCGGAACACAGAAAGAAGCTGAAGAGCGGCAGAAGGAGGGAGATGTTTCCTCTAATGGGCTTCATACTGCCTGCGGTACGACTTCTCGTGGCAAGAAGCTAATAAAAGAAAGATAAACGGTACGAGCACTCTAAAGGCTGGAGGCTGCTTACACGGGGTCCTCAAGCCGACGCCGTAGGCATTTATTTGTATACAATGCCGTTTCAACATTGGGTGGCGGGACATATTTTAGGAAAGGCGCCCGCTACCCCTTGTCTTTCCTTGGCGCCGTCTTTACTTTTCGAGTTAAACGCGGCTTCTGTGGATTGACGGCAGAGCTTTCGCGCGGCTTTGCAGGAGCGAATATGTGTGTGTCGAACGGAACAGAGGCGGGGCTTGCTGGTTTGCAACCTGCGGCTTCGAATCCCCTACCTAGAGACTTGGGGAAAACGAGCCCTTTCAAAGATGCGACTATACATAAATTAAATAGACAGTGCCTGTGCCCGCTCGAGTGAACACCGACTCCCAAACATCCATGCTGCAGTCGTGATCTGCCTTTAGCCCAGTTGAGATTCGCCGACCGGACAACCGCTTTGCCCCATCATATCTCTGCACCTGTCCTCTCGACCCTGACGAATGAGCTAACTACCCAGAAACAAGTAAGTGTTCCTTTCATACAGAAAATATCCAGACGAAGTGCAATTGAATATAATTTGGAAGGATCCATTGCTGGTTTAAGATCTTGTTTAAGTTCGAACTGCAACATGCTTTCAAAAATATTCAACAATTATTCGCTTTCGTTCTCTCGAGTTGCATTCAGAACACGTGAAAACACGAGTTTGGGTTGGCAATGCCGCATGTGCTGCGCTCTGGACATTCCAAATATACGGCGAACAACCGACGAACTTGCCTGGCAGCGTTCGTTTCGCTCGCTGCGTCAACAGTGTTTTGATGCCGCGAGCAGCGTCGAAGCCGCCGGGCCATTTTTGTCGCTTGTTTGCAACATACTCGCTCCATTGAAGCAACCGGCGACATTGAAAAGTATGTTTTAAAGAATATAAAGTTCTAACTACTATGCCAAGCTTAATGTCAAAGAAGAGCCGAGTTTTAGATTAAAACGTTTTTCGCATTGTTATTAGCTGCATGAGCTTCCTCCGTATAGTTGGCAAAGGTTGGCTCTCTGTACATGCTCTGCAGGTGTAACGAGAATATATAAATATTTAAACAAAAGGAGCCCAAAAGTTGTAGCCCCACCGGGGATATCTGAGCCATCAAGTTACACTGTCTGCAATTGTCACAGCCGCTATAGCACCAAACATTCATCCCCAGTAGTTCAACTTCTTTTTCTATTTCTAGCGCGCTGCCACGCGAATGGAGTAATCCCGTTTCCTATGAACTACAAAATTCCTTGCGTTATGGCGTTCAGAAAGGATAGTGCCAACACAATTTTTTAGATACTTACCTCTACCGTGGTCACCCGTAAGGTTTTAAATCAGAGTTCATTCCCGACAGGTAAACCGATGCAAAAACTCTCAAGATCTATATTATGTTATCAGAGTTCAGTGAAAACGATAACTCCGCAAAAAATATAAACACTCCCCCCCCCCCCCCCCCCCCCCCCCCCCGCCGTTTTACACCGAGGAACACCCCCCCCTCCCCCCTAAAATGGAGGTCTGGATCCGCCCCTGATCTGAATCCTGTCGCATTAAGCTCGTCGCATTGAGGCAGGCTCCGGCATATCATGAATCGTCTGATGAACCCCTGCCCAGCTATGACCACTCACTTTAGCCTAGCCGACTTTATAATTTCAGCATACCGGGATCGAATCAGATGCAAACATCAGACATGTTCAGCCAATCATCTACCTGCGCCATGCCCCTGCTTGTTTTAACATGGACAAGCATCGTAGAGGTCTGCGGTCGTGCAATCAGAGCAGCGTGGAACACGTTACAGACCTCAGGTTAAGTCTCAGGCAGTGCAGGATAAGTTATCCCACCACAGTGTCGAACCATGCCGCCGAATCACGAAGCCCGATTTGTTTTTTCTCATTTAATGCCAAAGTGAAAGACGAGGACAATTACGAAAGGGTCTGTACCGTGTACATGAGTTCATAAGAATTACAGCGTACTTCCCATGATGAAGGACGTCAAAAAGAGAGAAATATTCTTTAACGCCACCTCTCTGCGCCAGAGTGAGAGCCCGGCCGCTTAACCTTCAGCTACACATTTCTGTTTTCTACACCAAAAGACGAAGCCCGTCTCCAAACTTGGAAAACAAATACCATCGGATAACTACTAGTATTGTGTCAACTTTATTTTGAAAGCCGTTTTAGTCACGGGACACCGTTACATCCACGTCCAGTCGAGACACTCCAAGATTCTACGAAGGCATCACACTTTTTTTCAGAAGAACATCCCCACGGCCCGAGTTCATCCTCGCAGCGGGAGACCATTACATAAAATACGATAAAGCGCAATGGGTGGAAAAGCGATCAGCAACAGCAGCAGGCAACTGAGTACTGTTGACTGCTACGAATACCAGATGAACCCAGCGCATGCGGCGACGCGGCAAAAGGTGCGCGGCTTTTGGAAGAAATTTTGATTCAATTCGATGACTGCGCCATCTACTTTCATCCTGGACCTCTGAATTGAATCGATGCAGGCAATAAGCACCTCCCCCTTCAGCCACCTTATTGTATGGCTTACACCATAGTTACAGTAGCGCTAATAACTGTCATTAAGCCAACGACAGGTGACACTGTCATTAAGCCAACGACGGTTGACACTGTCATTAAGTCAACGACGGTTTACTCAATGCGATCGGCCGGAGTTACACGGCGGCGCCAACTGTCATTGAGCCACCCGCTAACGATCATTGAATTCAACTGAGCTGGCCTATTTCAGTTTGCCTCAATTAACTCATGACAAGGCGGTGTCTGCCACGCCAATGACCAGCGACAAGCAAGTACCTACCGGTAAGGAAGATGGGGGAGGTATCTAGAAAGTATCGTAGCACCAAATATTGTCGGAAGAGGTATGACTCGGGGCCAGAGCTACCGCTAGAACGATCACGACATGTTAAAAAACTCAAAGCTCGACGGGGGCGGCCACTGTGATGTCGGTGCCAGTAAGACTTTCGTTATGTTCACTTTAATGGATATAACGGAGGCGACATGACGCTGTGGAGGGACACGCCCCAACGATGACCAAAACCAAGAGACACTACTGGACGAAAAGGAGAGCTGACTTGGTGCCAACAGGTGCTTTAATTAACGTTTGAGGACCCTCCCGAGGGAAACCAAAACAGCTGTTGGCGCCAAGTTAGCTCTCCTTTTCGTCCAATAGACCCTTTTTATGGCAAACGCCACCATGCGGTGCTCCTGTCTTTGACGTCCCAGGGAACTTCCGGTTTATAAAAAGAAGGAACAAAGGCCACCTTAACACCACTGCTTGAAACGTAGATGAAACGTTTCACCACCGATTCTCCAGGAGGACGCCAAAAGAACGAAGGAGTGTGAGATCTGTTAAAATATTTCGAGTCTTGTACAACAGATTGACTAAAATAATCCCTGGAGAAAGGGAACAAGGGAGACAAAAGACAAACATAAGTCTCCAAACACAGCTAGGTGACTGGTGCGCGACCGAAAAAATCTGCCTGGTCCTGGTATCGAATTAGGGACCTCTTTTAAATTTTTTCGGTTGCGTACCAGTCACCTAGCTGTGTTTGGAGATATGTGTTTGTCATTTGTCCCCCTTGTTCCCTTTCTCCAGGGATTATTTTGGTCATTGTTGTTTAGCCCACTTGCACCTTGGCATTTGATTGCATTATCGTTATAACTTGTAAACCAACTTCCCTCCTCCAAGATGTACTATTGTACAGCCGAAGGTCCTCGTTAAATCTCCAACTTCGTTGTCCGTGTAGCATTTATGCTTTCTAGCACTGGTGACATAAGCAAGCTCACTAGGCTTGCAGAGACGGTGCGACCGGAAGTTGCCTGGGACGCAAGCAGCAGTTACTGTTTGTAAACAGCAAAAGGGTTTGGTCATCGTTGGGGGTGTCTCTCCACAGCGTCATGTCGCCTCCAAAAGCTTCCTACCTCCCATGGTTATGTCTCTCTTGCTTGAATTCGTGTGAGACTTTCCGATTATAATTTTTTTTTTACGAATAAAAGACGTTTATTATTTTTTTTTTAACGTTTCAATGATTGAAATGTCTGCGTATAATTCATTTGCGTAGCAAAGAAAAGAAAAGGTACTGCGGCATCACTTTTAGTTTCGTATCGGTTTCAAATGTATCCCTTGACGCGCATCCAACTGGGGTTGTTAGGCCAATGAACCGTGCAACACTGGACAACTTAGTCCAGCTTAATGACAGTTGGGAGATGCCAATTATTGTTGGCTTAAAATGACCGTTGAGAGCGCTAGTGTAACTAGTGTGGCTCTGTAGAATGCTTTCTGTGCATGAGAAGTTGTGCATAAAAAAAAAACGTGGAACACGTTTTAGAGAATGGGCACGTTTTAGTGAACCTCAGTTTAGAGAAATTCTGTTTATCGAAAAGGGGACGCTGCTAAAAAAAAATGCTCCCCTGCTTCGCGAGTGTATCACTGAAAACGCGCGTCCACCCATCCAAGACGTGGCGAAAGCCACGCACGCTACGCGCACAAAGACGGAGCTCAATGAGCACTGCTGGACGACAGGACACATATTCAATTCGACAATGCCACAACATTGGCAAGAGAACAGCACTGGGGCCCAAGAAAACTTCTGGAGTCGTGGTTTGTCCGGCGTGACTGATCAGTGTGCAATATAAATCGCAGCCCCCTACCGGATGTTTTCAAGGGCATTCGCAAAAATTAGTGACTGCTGGGCTGTCGCCTGATTTGCGTCAATGTATATTGAAGATGCCACCTGCATAGGTAGCGAAATGTGTGTATTTCTGTTAATGTCTCTGCTATGTTAAGGTGGAGTAAAATGTTTTAAGCACACGCAGGAAGACAAGACACCAAATTTGTACTAACAAAACCTGGGAACTAAGTTTAATGAGCCTCTTTTGTACAAACACCGGAAAATTAGAAAAGCATCTACTATTTTCGTACAACTGTCTTCATGATGTTCTCACCAAGTGGGCTGAAATAAAAAAAATATGTATTTCATTACATGATTTTAATTGAAGGACTATATGTAATAACATGTGTCATGAAATTTCTCAATTTTGATATGACATCAACATTTCAGCCCCAGGTAATGATGAAATTGAGATAACTTCTACATGTTTGTTACTTTGCAACATACCAGGGAAAGCGAGAAATGGTAGCATATCTTATTACTGGTACAGTCATGTCTCATTAATATTGACACCTCCACTTTCCTCAAAAAGCGTCCATAATGTGAGTTGTTCATAATAATGGGACAAAAGTGTGTATTTACACAATTCGTAAACTCAAAAATGTTGCCTTTATACAGTAGCGAGGTATCATAGTAACGGGGTCCGTATTAATGAGATATCACTGTATATTAGAAGGCACAACCATGCCACACTAGCCATCATGTTAGCCTTACGAAGAGTGAGAGAATCTAACATTATTTTAGTCTGTAATAGGGCAAGACAGGTGCAATGTATATACCTTGTAAGGTTCACTCCCTCACAAGAAATTTAGTGCCTTGAATTATAAACACCTTATTTTTCTTGGTTATAGAATAGCATAGCACTAGTTTTGAGTGCTCTATATTCAAGAGGATGCTGCTCCACACAAGAATGTATCATAAAAGATTGCAATGTTTTTGATTGAATTATATCAAGAAAGGTGTTGTTAGCATGTTTCTTGGAAACAAAAATAGTAAGGATGCCTCTTGTTCTTGACAGCATTGGAGCCTTGATAAAGCCCTAAAGAGATTTTTTTAAAACTGGGGATACCCGATTCTCAGATATTCCAAACGGTAAGCTGCTTTTTCCCCGAGGTGCATTTATCAAACAAGGTGCATTTTTATAGAGAGCCCTTAAAACATAAACACAACACTCCTAAAAGTAAAATATTGAACACAAAAAACCGTAAGTAGTTGCATACCAAAGCCAGCCTTCCGAGACCAGGGTGAAAGATATCCTAAAATTATCTGGCTAATCCAAAAAAAAATACAGACCAAACATGTTCATACTCGGGATCTTCATTCAATGCAGGAAGCGAATTTTCTTTCAAAAAGCTTACATCTTAATTTGATTTTGTTCTAATTAGAGTATATGAGATATACTTGCCCCTCAGTGTGCTGCAATGTGATAGTGTGTAGAACAACCTTACGCAGTTATTCAACGCACCAGACTTAATGTGACACATGCCGTTGCCCATAACTAACTTCTGTTATATCAAACACATGCTGAAGAGGTAACAAATTTTGAGCAGCGCTTATCGCGTGCATGTGCTGCCGCTGTTCACTTATAAGAAACTCTTGGTAAAAGAAACATATTGTAGCGAGGAAGAAGAGAAGGAAGTGGCACACGGGGTTGGAACATGTGGCAAGATCGAAAGCGGGCGCCTGATCCGTAATTAAACAGTTTTGTAATCAAATTGCGCTTCATTTGGTGTAAGAAGAGGAGCCCTGTGCTGGTAGACTCCTTCTTCTGAGGATGGAACCTATCTCTACTCCTGGAGGGGACCGCACACAGAGTACCAGCAGCACCAGAAATCCAGCCATCTTGGACCCTCCTCCCAACTCTTGGCACTTCTCTCATGCTACCTGGAGCAAGCCGAAGCTTCATACGCTCGACAAGAAAACCAGCTCTGGCAAAGTCCAGAGTCATACTTTGAAGACTCGACAGCCTCTGTCACCGAACGGCTGCAGCATGTGGAGGCCAAATTCTTTGGATCCGAGGAGCTCTGTGCCGTGCCAGTAAAAAAACCCATTGGGACTCCCTAACCTGCGCCACCCTAGACATTCGAGGGTAGCACACCCTTGAGGGCATTATATTTTCCAATTCAACATTGTCATGGTCGCACATAACTGGCCAGAGGCTCAATCAAGTCTTGGCTGCCCATCTAGCTGGGCCAGTGTTGAATCTAATGCATTATTTGTCACCTGAAGCTCCACAATTCCACCAGTGCCTGGTCACAGCATTAGACCAGCGTTTTGGAGAAGGGCCGCTCCGACGTCTGCACCATGCAACAACTTCGCAGCTGCCGTCAGACTCCAGAAGAGACAATCCTGGATCTCTCGGATGACATGAATGCCTCGCACGTCTTGCATTCCCCAGCTGCCCACACGAAACAATTGAAGCAGTTGCCACCGTGGCATTTATTGATGCCATCTTGTCCGTCGAGGTAGAGGATGCACTTTATCTAGCATGCCCAAAGACTCTGCAGGCAGCGCGCATTTGTGCCTTGGAGGTACAAGCCACTCAACAGGCATCCGATTTACGTGTCTGCAGACTCAGAGTACCACTGCAAGGACGCAGGCACCTCCAGTTCTCATTTACTGAAATGGCCACCTGCAAGGTCATTTGCGAGAGCAGTGCCCGAGGCGTGACGTTTGCAATGGGAGCCGGAGTTTGACAACAGTGAATCCAACAAGAATGACGCCAACTTGTACATCGGCTTCGGCTCAGACTTCCATCTACACCTGGGCCGTTGTCAACAGTGTGCCAGTGCGCGCACTCGTTGATAGTGGGACAACCTTTGTAATCCGCCTGGAAGTTTTGCTGAAGGTGAACAGAGTCGACCCCCTAAACTCCGAAAGCCGCATTCTCCAAACCACAACGAGGGAGATGGTAGCTGTCCTGGGCTGCACAACCGTGCCTTTCAGCGTGGGAAACCTTCAAGTTGAGGTGCTTTTTACTACTGCACTGTTGAGGCGTCGATACAGTTTTTAGTACAGGCAACGCCAATTTGTGCCAGACATCAGCTGCAACACGCCAAATAGAAACGGGACAAGCAAGCCATGTACGACAGCTACCCAGATGCTTCCCCCTGGCACGGCAGTCATATGTCAACGACATGGACTAGACAATGCTACAACAGGGATTGACTGAACCCACATGTGCCCCCTGGTCTTCACCAGTCACACCAGTAAAGAAAAAGAAAGAGTCAGCACGCTTCCGCGAATCGAATTTTGGGGGTTTTATGTGACAAACCAACGACAGGCATCTGGCACACCCCAGCGAAGGACTGAGGATTAATTTGGACTACCAGGGGATCTTCTGACGTGCAACCGAAAGCTCGGATACACGGCCCCTTCTCCGCAATAAGCCTCTGTCATATTGTGTTAACCTCGGCCGGGATTCAAACTTGCTACACGGGGATCCGTAGCACGCTTCTGCGTAGACCAGGGGTGGCCAAGCTGCGGCTCGCAAGCCGCATGCGGCTTTTTCAGGGGCGGATTTAGAGGGGGGGGGGGGTCCAGATGTCCTGACCCTCCTCTTAATTTCTGCATGTGTAAAATTTAGGGCGCGAAACGAGGGAGAGGGGGAGGGGGTTCCTAAACATATGGTAAACTGACCAACACCTGACCCCCCCCTCAGGAAATTTCTGCATCCGCCGCTGGGCTCTTTGCGTGTTAAATTGCGGCTTGCGGCTCCCTCCTCAGCGCCTCCCCCTGCTCCCCCGCCTCCCTCTCGGTTATACGAGCATTTCCACAAAAAGAGAAATGAAACGCGTTTTAAATTGAAAGACAGGTTATATTTGGTAGTATCGTGAACTGCTACCTTACGTACAGTTGGACGGCTTTTGACTCAGATAGATTGAAAGTAGCTTGAGTTTCGTTTAGTGCTCTAGACAAAAGTTTGCCCCCCCCCCTTTCCTGCGTCTCTAGGAAGTTTCGTAGTTTTGTTTGCAGCTCTTAGGCCGGGTCAGCCTGGCCACCCCTGGCGTAGACTATCGACGACTCAATGATGTCGCTAAGAAAGACTTTTCCCTTGCCTCAAACCGACAGCATCTTGGATGCTCTATCAGGCTGCACGTGGTTCTCTACGCTTGACTTAAAAAGCAAGCGGCTATTGGCAGGTCCCAGTGCACCAGGAGGACTGCGAGAAAACTGCATTCTCCGCAAGTAATGGCTCGTATCAATTTAGAGCGATGCCATTTGGACTCTGCAATGCCCTGGCTACATTTCAGAGACTAATAGCATCCATCCTGCATGATCTCACTGGCACAGTTTGTCTCGTATATTATGACAAAATTGTTGTCTTTGGCAAGACCTTCGCCGATCATCCGACGAACCTTGAGCTGGAGTTTTCACGGTTGCAAAAGGCAAATCTGAAGCTAACGCCAAATAAATGTTCATTGTTCACAAAGCAGGTCGAATACCTGGGACACATCATTTCGACGGACGGAGTTTCTACAGACTCTCGGAAACTTTCTGCTCTTACTAAGTGGCCGACCCCAAAAACCATCACTGATGTACAGTCAAACCCAAATATATCAAATTCAAAGGGGATCGTTTCAAATGTTATGTACACAAATCTGTAGATATAAAACCGTTGCTTTTCTTAGGAAATGTATTGCATATCGAGTTATTTTAGCAATTTCAGCAGAATTCTATACACTGTGTGGCAACCAAAGTTTCTGAAGGAAATTTTATCCCACCAAAAATGGCTAGCGGCCTTTGAAATGGTTAACGCTTTGGGAAATTGTACTTGCAACAACAAAGCATAGTCATTGGAAAGCCTCTGTGCTGCTCAACTTGACGATCCAGACATCGGCCCACTAGTTCGATGGTAGATGAACAGCAACCTCAGTCTTAAAGGGGCCCTGCAATCATATTTAAGTGTCTATCTTTTTTGCAGTTCCCATGTCTCTTAGGGTTCAGGCAAGCCAGCGGGCACTAAGAAAGTAACTAAATATCAGTGCGTCATATTTTAACAGGACGACGCGAAAAACTCCTCCACCTATGGGGATGACCCGCGGTGCCGGAAGCGCGCAATATGTGACGACATTGTGATGTTTTAGGTCCTGGCCTTTCTACTGGTCAGAGCTGCTAAAAGCTTCTTTTTAGTCGAAATACAAAATATAAGTTTTGCATTTCGACTAAAACTAGTCAGAGCCGCTGAAAGCTTCTTTTTAGACGAAAAACAAAATATAGTCTTTAATCGCGCAGCAAATGCAATGCGAGCCGCCCTGGCTGGCCGTTTCATACAGCCTAGCCAGAACATGCTTTAGTGGCGCCCTCTTGAGCCGTCGACACGGAGCGCGGCAGCCGTGACTGCTTGCTGAGCTCACTACCCCTCCTCTAGTTCACGGCCGCTCAAGCAACCAAGGATGTCATGACGGAGGTCATTTTTTGCTTGTTTTTGTAATTTTAATTTGCCGATGACATTTAAAATAAAGCGAAATTTGGGAAAAGAAAAGTTTCATTAAGTTACTACGTTCAATGCACTCAGGTTCAGTGCGAATTAAAAACCGGTAAAAAGTCCTTGCAGGGCTCCTTTTAAGAGGCATCAAGCTTGTCTCTCACCCAACCTGGAGCAATGGGACTTTTTGTTCCTGGAGAAAAACATTCTCTTTCTACAGACGCTGGTAGTCTCCCAATGGTTGGATTTTCTCATCTGACAATGGTGCTGCCATGCAAACCGTGTTCCCAGGTGTTCCATACACCCTAGCTCAGAAGGAGGACACTTCAGCGTGAATCATACAATAAAGAAAATTCGTCAACGCTTCTACTGGCTGCAGTGCCACAATGACGTAAAACAGTCGTGCCCTTAGTGTGACATGTGCGCATCACGTAAAGGGCCTCACATAAAACAGCGTGCACGACATCAGCAGCACATAGCGGGAGTACCTTTCGAACATGTTGGCATCGATGTGCTGGGGCCATTTCCTTGATCTGAACTGGGAAACAGGTTTCTGTTCGTCATTGTCGACCATTCTACCAAGTGGCCAGAGGCCATTCACAGTCCAAACCAGACCACCCCCGAGATTGACGCTCTGGTAAAGAATTCGATAAGCAGGTATGGAGCGTCCCTGAGCATCCACTCGGACCGAGGCAGAAGCTTCGAATCCCAAGTATTCTTTAAAGTTCGCAAGATGTTCAACACTGCAGAAACAAAGACAACATCTCTCCAGCCCCTGTTGAATGGCCTTATAAAAAGGATGAATTGCACCATCTTACAACATCTCAATGTACGTAAGTGATCGCCAAAATGACTGGGATACTATTGTGCCCTTGTTTTTGTATGCATACCGTACAGTTGCTCCCAAGGCGAGTGGCTACACGCCAGTCACAATGCTTTTCGGTCATGACTTTCTAATGCCCTGCAAAATAGCCATTCCTCGATCGGTCACAGAACACGTGACCTACGTCAGTCACTTGAGAGAAACCTTCCAACAGATGCATGCATTTGCTTGGCAGCGTTTGGCAAGCAGTCACTCTCACATGGAGACTTGGTACGATGCACACGTTGCAATATAGCCATCCTCCCCAGGTGCCAGGGTATGGCTTCATAATTCAATCCGAAAAGAAAGGACTGTCACCAAAGTTGCAGCGCCACTGGCAAGGACCTCTTACGGTCATTGAATGCCTCAGCGACGTCGTTTTGCGCATACAACGTACCAATCGATCGCGGGTCCATGTGGTGCACCGTGACCGAATTTGCCTGTATGAAGGATTCTGTTAAGACTGGCCGAAGTTTCAAGGCACGGAGGGGAGATAACGTGGTGAGGAAGAAGAAAACGAAGCAGCGCACGGGGTTGGAGTGTGTGGCAGGATCGAAAGCGGATGTCTGGTCTGACATTAAACAGTTTCGTAAGCGGGAACATGCTTCAATACTTCAAAACTTGGAAGTTTGTTGTGCCATAAAACATGGAGCAAGTTACCACAGAATAGTTAAAATAATCACGAAAAAATGGGGATGGGTGCTTGATAGGTCAGAAAGCAGAAAAGCAGAAGGGGAATATGGTAGGGTAAGCCCTCGTTCGCAGACGGAAAATGATAGGAGTGGCATAGGGAACTGGTGGAATTTTTAATATTTAAAGCAGCCGCGCAACACCCACAGTCGACAAGCCTGCTTTGTGCGGGTGCTCTCCATGTCAAGCTTCACTACCTTGCACTCGAACAAGTGCATAAAGCTTTGCTGCTTTGCACATCGGCTTCTCAAGCAAGCAGCCAATGCGGAGGAGCTCCACGGTCAGCTTGGTGGGCTCGTAAGTTTGCTGGGTAGGAGATTCGCACACCCGCTATTTCACGGCACGTCGATTGCACCGCGTCCAGTGGCACTTACACTCCTTGGGAATCCGGATGGCCTCCTCGTCCGCAAGCTTGACTTCGTGGTCGAGGTTCCTGAACCGGTAGCGCACCAGGAGCGACCTCGACTCTCCCAGGCAGGGGTCGTAGAAGCCCGGCAGGTTGCTCTGAGGGAACGAAGGGACGGGAACGACGCATCGTTAGCGACGGGACTCTAGATCCGTTCACTGTTAGGCCGTGGTCACATCGCTAACACCTCAAACAAAAGACTCTCTGCAGACACTGTCTAAGCCATGTTTCTTCCCAGTCCTATTACGCTGGTCACACAAAAATTGTCTGCAAAGACGATCGAAGCATAATGTGTGAAGCAAACATACTCTTCGAACACGCTTGAGTCATGTCCGCAAAAAATTCGGTCATTGTGCCTGCGGCGGATACCGTGTCTTTTGTAAGATGTAGGAGCGGTATGATAGCTGCTTTAAAGCTGACAGTGCGGTGGGATTTAAGCACTCGCCGGACCAATCGACTGCTTCCCTTTTGTCGTCTTACCCTGCTCTCCGAGTGTTGGTACGGGTGGAGGGGGGGGGGGGGGCGTGCTCGCGTGACGAAAGATAGTCGTACGACTGGTCCAACGAGCACGTAGCTTCCACCACTATGTCAGCTTGGGGGTGTATGGAGTACAATATACTGAGTCAATAAATCGTTCGCATAGAGTAGGCGTTGGAACTTCGGTGCAAGCCCACCGAGAATGCTACAGTTGGATGCTAAAATTAAAGGCTGGAGAATTAGGAATGGCTTTTGGTCTACTACATTGGCATAAAAAAGTGGCAATGTTAGAACCCTAACATTTCATCTACCAGCATAGAATGTGCCATGCAAAAAATATACCGCGTTCAGATTAAATATCTTAATTAAATCAATTCTAAAAAATAATGAAGGACTACGGTACTCTTCTTCAGAGCTCTCTGAGGTGTGCATGTCTCACACTTTCAGTTGTTCTTTAAGTTTTAGTGTATTTGATGAATCTGTTGAGGCATAACCCTTTACTGCTTCAAAAAAAAGCACACCAAAGTTTCGGGCCCAGACAACATTGTTCCTCACCTTAGAACAGTCCGGCAGAGTGAGGGAAGAGTCCTTCACCAGGCACTGTAAAGGCACAGTCACGTCCACAAGTTCCCGAACTGTTGTCTGGGGCCTGAAAACAGAGTGCACATTACTAAACCAGATGTGATCACAAAGACAAGCAGACGCAGATTTGCAAAAGGGGCCCCAAGCCTGAAAAAAGTAACTGAGACCTCTATGCTGCACTTCCTTTTTGTCTTTATATTTTGTTTTCTGAGTCTCATGTCTTCATCTTACACATTATTGGCACAAGAGGCATGAAAAGCAAGTATTATGCCTGATGTTCAGTGTAGATATCGCCTAGGGAGTTTATCGTTTCCTGGAAAGTGGAGTGGTCGACCTTTAACCGTTCGGATGGAGGCGCCCCGACAGTTCGCTCGAGGACAGGAAAAAAGGCAACTTGAGGCCCTTTAATCTTTGGCCTGGAAAGGAGACAGAGACATTCTTCCCTGTTGCCGTGAGGTGGCGGCGCCCTCCCCGGCTTTGTCGTCCCAACGCGTTTCCAGTGACGGCTTGTCCAGTCGGGAGACTGCTACAATGGGGTTTTGTCGATGAGAGGCACTGGTCTGGGTCCACTTGGACTCGATGCCAATTCACTCTTTGGCTTCGAAGGACACGGCATCAATTTGCTATAATGCCATGAAATGGGGGTGTTTTCCCCGTAAAGTAACGCCCAGATGGGAGAGTTCCTCAAGGGGGTTAGAGTTGTTTTACTTCGTAGAAAAGGGAAAGAATGAGTTCCGTGGCTTTCCTGTGATTGGGGGAGGACCCGCTGGCACTGGTGCGAATAGAATTGTATAATTGTACTGATTAAACAGGCCCAGTGATGGAAGTGCCATTTGACCTTTTGGACCAGGCCTTGTAGCAGGCAAAATGTTGTTTTGGAGCAGGTAGTTGCCCTTTTGGATCAGGGCCCGGCATATGTTGGCATATTACTTGAAAATGAAATAATGCTGCATTGCTATATAAAGCCCATCTCTATTATTGGAACACAGCACCTGTCGCCTTTTTAAGACGAGATATATAAAATTCAACAAAGTAAACACAAAAACACATTTTTTAAAATAAAGTTTATCTGCTCGTCAAATAAAAAAAATACAATTCAATATGTCACACTGAGTTCTGATGGTACAGGATTTTAGTTTTATCAGCCTGCACTTCTTTTAAAGTATCTGCAGCAGCATCTAACGACCCTCACTGTTGTGGAATGTTTTAGTTCAGATCAGAGTTGTCTTTTGGGCAGCAGCTTCAAATATTGCGGTATCTGATATTCACTTAAAAAATTCCGATTAATTTTCGATGTGCTGGCGAAGTCACGATCGGATCGCGGCGAGTTAACCCGTTGAGTGCGCTCCTTGGCATGCACCGACGCGCTGCAGAGAAGCGACACCCGCGGAGCAGACAGCGCAGTCGCGCGAGTCGCGCAGTGCTTTGTGCTCCGAAAAGGACGGTGAGGCTTTACCAGCACTACATCCAGAGTTTGGTACAACTCAGCTATACACCAACTCATGTTTACAAACAAACCGGAGCGCCCCTAGCGGACGTCACCGGCGCCGCGCATGCGCCGTGGATGGTGGGCAAGAAGCCCGCCGTCGCCCATAAACAGACCATTGAATTGCGTTGTTGTCGGCGTCGGTGGGAGTCCCCATGCTCTTTTTCGCGCTGGAACTGTTGATTCTACGTCCTCCTAACAATGTCTGACTACTTGAGCGGCTTCAGCAAAACTAACGAGGCAAAACTTTGCGTGAATAATGTGACTTGCGGCGATTCATTTCACGTCGACGCCGCAGAATGGGCGCTAAAACCTGACTCCCACAATGAGATTCTGCTCGCTATTTTCAGTCGCGACGTCGCTCGGGCTGCAAAAGCGCGGACCGTAGCTGAGGTGGTGGACGTCGACACTGAAAACCGCAAGTAGAATCGGGCATTACAAGTCGGTGATGGCCACTGGTAACAATAACGATAAACATCTTGTATCTGTTTACACTTAGCCTACTTACCCCAACCAACCTTCAAAAGTGTTTTGAGGCCTGCACTTAGTTCTTATCGCAATTACCGGGTCAACGTTTGGTTTCCGGGCCGCTGTCATTTGAACGAGCTGACGACAAAAAGCAGCCAAGTTTGAAAGAGCAGACGACAGTTCGAACGCATGACGGGCAAAAAGCACCGCGTCCCGCGTCAACAAACCACTCGAATGTCACGTTGTCGGCGTCTGTGTGAGTCTGCCTACTCTTTTTCGCGTTGGAGTTGTCGATTCTACGGTCTCATCGCAATGTCTTACCACTTCAATCGCCTGAGCGAAATTATCGAGGCTCGTTACGCCGCTAAACGTTCCGTAAATAATTTGACGTGCGGCGATTTATTCGCATGAACGCTGCAGAATGGACGCCAAAACCATGATGAGATTCTTGTAGCTATTTTCGGTCGCGACGTCGCTCGTGCTGCAAAAGTGTAAAAGGTAGCGGCGATGATCGACGTCGATACTGAAAATCGGAAGTGGGAAGAGAGAAAGCGTAACAAGAAGGTGATGGCCACCGGTACTAATAATTAACATATTGTATCTACTGTTTACACCGAGCCTACTTAAGTCTTTTGAGGCCTGCAATTACTTCTTATTGCAATCACCGGGTCAAACTTTGGTCTACGGGCCGCTTTTGTTTGAACGAGCAGACGACAAAAAGCAGACAACTTTGAAAGAACAGACGAAAGTTCGAACGATCAGGCGGCCGTGTGAATTTGAAGACGCACTGAATCCGTGGGTGGTCCGGACAACTTGGGGGTTTTATCTCGGTCATGTTGGAACAAAGCAAATACATCTGGCGACTACAAATTGTGGCCCGCACACGCAATCGTAATTCGACAGCGTCAGGTTTGCCCTTTTCACGGCTGCTATCCACGTTCTCGGACGAACGGAGGGTGCAAAAACACATGAAAACTGATCTTCAAACCTTCCCAGACTCTCTTGGTAAAGCCCCCATCGCAGCATTTTGACGAGAAGGCAGGTTTTTTGTCTTGTTTCTTCCAAAGGAACACAGGAATGCATGCCTGGCACGGCGACTTCTGCCCACCGCCCGAGACCGGAAGTGCGTCCGGCGCGCCACCACCGCGGCGTGACGTAGGAGAGTTGAGTTGGTGTAGCTCGTCAAATAAAAAAAATACAATTCAATATGTCACACTGAGTTCTGATGGTACAGGATTTTAGTTTTATCAGCCTGCACTTCTTCTAAAGTATCTGCAGCAGCATCTAACGACCCTCACTGTTGTGGAATGTTTTAGTTCAGATCAGAGTTGTCTTTTGGGCAGCAGCTTCAAATATTGCGGTATCTGATATTCACTTAAAAAATTCCGATTAATTTTCGATGTGCTGGCGAAGTCACGATCGGATCGCGGCGAGTTAACCCGTTGAGTGCGCTCCTTGGCATGCACCGACGCGCTGCAGAGAAGCGACACCCGCGGAGCAGACAGCGCAGTCGCGCGAGTCGCGCAGTGCTTTGTGCTCCGAAAAGGACGGTGAGGCTTTACCAGCACTACATCCAGAGTTTGGTACAACTCAACTATACTTCGTTTCAGCTTCGGTGCGAGCGCAGCCGAAGCTACAAGCGCCCGCATGGAGCCCGTACAGTGCCCACACTCCACGAGCCCACGCGCGAGTCAGGAATGCACAGAGCATTGGGCTCGCGCTAACTTTGACTTCGCTGGTAGCTAGCGCGCGGGAACAGGGCGGGCCAACAATAAAAACATCCGCAAGCTCGGCCTTTTTTTTTTTTTTTTTTTTTTTTAATAGGCTGCTTAGTGGGATGGTTCTTCGCTTAGCCTCTGCGGCTTTGGTCTCAGATGTTGCTAACGTTGTTCTTTTCAATGATGATGATGATAATGCGCTCTCGCAGTTTCGGTTTGCGTAACAGTTGCGGCGCGGAAAATACCGCGGTACCACCACGTGCTCCGATAAGACTTCAATTTTTATTTATTATTGCTACACCTCATCTCGGCGCAGGTATGGCGCAATTCTTCGGTAAAATGATAATTTGGCGCTACATGTAGCAGGATTGCGTCGTTGGCGCAATTTGGTGCAATTGGTGCAGCACTTCCATCACTGCAGGCCCTGTCAGAGGAAAATTTTCTCGACCATGCTAATGGAGAAACGTTGAGTTTGAGCAGGCTGCACGCGGAGCAAATTATCTCCTGCGGTCCGCCAGTCCGTGTAGCCTCGTCGCGAGCGACAAGCAGTTATTTTGAGCCTCACCGTGCGCGGTGGGCACTTTACACCGAGGCGCGTTTTTTGTCTTACTACTGCCGTGAGCGAACAGTAGTCTTGTAACCAAGTTTGCTGTCGTCGTTTTAATATATTCATTTTGATCAATCGTTGCTCTCGACTTTGAGCGTCTTTCCTCGAGGCTCCGCCGCCACCAACAAACAACGAAGCGACAACCCAGCGCAGCAGTCCACGATCGCCCGGCACTGACCTACAACTTCTAGTAAGGACCGAGGCAAAACAACCTGACTCTCAGGGGAAGGATCTTTATTGTCAGCAAGTAAATAAAGAAGAAGAATCCCCCCAAGGACACAAAATGGGAGTATAAATGTAGCTATAAAATTAGACATAACCATGTCTCGACCCTTCCGGCACAATCACGCTGCCTAGCACTTGAACAGAAACGAAAGAATGTGTTGGATAAGCTTGATTATTACATACAAAAGTAAATAAGTAACAAAGGCAATACGTGTCATCTTTTAACATTGTGCTCAGTGTCACTATAGACAGAATTATCATGTGACAAAGTTGTCTCGTGGTTTTTAGTGTCCTTCCATATAATGTAATGATTGGTTATCTTTAAGTTGTAGCAGGAAAGCAGGCACGTATTTACAACACAGCTATTATTTGTAGCAAACCTCTAACAAACTAGGCGGCACTTCTTAAAATATTAGAAAAATAGCATCTCAACTGCCACTCCGAGAGTCAGGCAGCGTGTTTTACTACCACAAGTCCTATTCTTGGACTGATGCAGGTCCGTTTTCTTTATCTTTGAACAAATGTGACACCATGCTTGCATCATCCAAATTCACTTTTGTTGCTCTGAATACTATGAAAGCAAAAAAGCGCGAAAATAAATGAGGGACGAGAAAAAGAAGTAATGACAGACACGGCGCTGGGCACCGGGTCTGTCGTTACTTCTTTTCATTCTTCGTTTATTTTTGCGCTGTTCCCCTTTCATGATGTCAAACCAAGTCGCCCAACTTTATGCGTTGTTACCCTTAATACTACCCTCTTTAAATCCAAATATGATATGAACTTCTATTATTCAGTATTGGACGAAGTTTCTGCAACCAGGAGTGCAGAAACCTGGCAACAAAGCAAGAAACACGGTGGCCCTACCTTGAGCACTGATTATGCCGTCACACATCTTACTAGGCAACGATTGGGGTAGGTCACGTGAGGGAGGCATGCCCACGGCTGTTGGTGGGCGCACCACAGTAATCATGCTCATTAAATTGCAAACCTTGTTTAGGGCGCTTTTGGTGTGCCTTTTGCCGAAGGAAAAGCGCCCTGTGAAGCTCACTCAGCACGGGTAACCACTTTCACTCACTGTCAGGAAGCGGACCATAGATGACGGCGTGTATGTTGACATCAATGCATCTTATAGGCGAAGAATGTCCGGGGCTGGGCAATTCCTCGACCCCAAGGTTCGCCAAGTGCACACGCCGTTTGGTTTCACGGTTGATCACTTCCCGAACTACGCACTTGCGACCACTTGCAGCCATTATGAGAGCAATTTGGCTTGGCTTGAATTGGCCTGACCGCTTGGCGACAGAAGAAAATTGACTTGGTGGGTAGCTAAATTGGTTACAATTAGAAACTCGCGGAGCCGAAAATTGGAAGTGCCTTCATTACGCGGGGGAAAAAAACGCCCAAACATTGGTACCCGTTTTGGGGGGTGCGCTTATTATGCGAGTAAATACGATAGTTCTCTTAATTTTCTTCGTGAAATAGTACACACAAACAATGGACCTTTTTCACATAAAGATGACACTACCGTAAAATCCCGAGAGATGCCCCACTCTCGAAAGGTGGCCCACCCCTACGTTTTGCTTGATTTTATATATTTTTTTTAAACACCGAAAGATAGCCCACTTCTAGTAAAAGTAGTGCTGGGATCCATGATGGCCTCAGCGCGTAAATGCGGCTAGTTAGCTGCGGTGGGATATACCTGATCATTGATGGCTGGGAAGCAGTCATCTTTACGTCGTTGCCCCTCACCCCGATAACAAGCTTGGAAGGGAAGCATGACCTAAAAATATAATGGTCTCAACTTTTCTTCATTGTACACTGAAACTTAGCCCACCACATATTTTCACCCAATGTTTTCTTGATTTTTTGGGTGGGCTATCTCTTGGGATTTTACGGTAAGCTGCGGACGTACAAGCTACGTTCAGTGGGATCAGATCTCTCTAATCAAGTGGCAGCTTATGCCGACGTCTAGCTCCAAGAGGCAAGTCGAAACTATGCGCCAACAGTGCATTCTTAATTGCGTTGCTTCGATCATGAAATTGCCATTCTGCTCGCAGAGAAGACATGAAGACGCTGGAACTTCAAGTGGAATAAACTGTATCTATGTACTGCAGGAGCGGCATGCAATGTTAGTGCCGAGGAAGATTGTAGAGTGGAAATTAAACAAAAATGTCTACTAAAAGGAATCATATAGGCCTCTAAGTGCTAGTAAATCTGTTTTTTTTTTTGTGTGTTGAGAGATTTAATGTGTTCCTTATGTCATCAAAACAAAAAGTGAAACAATGAAAAGAAATACAATAGTTCGGCAGTGGATTCAAACTCGCAACACTCCATGCCCAAAACAATTAGATGTATTTGACCACTTGGCCACGCAAGCAGACATTTCTGACGAGATCAATTGTCCTTTATGAACCTTTTTCGAAGAAGTAGCTCTGAAGTGTTCTACTTTTTCTTTAATTTTCATTTAAATAGGATCCTCCCTGGCACTAACGTTCTGTGCCACTCCTGAAAGGGTCTGTGCAACGACATTAGGTAGGAATATTTCTTACTTTACACCAGCTTCCTGGTGCTAGTGGGACCCAAGAATACTCGAACGCAACACCACTGACCAAGAAGCGTCTTCGTCGCGGTGGAATTCAAAGGATGAAAGAGGAGCTTTTCTTTCAGTCTCTCCTTCCAAAGCCGCCTTTTGCTCCTTCGCTAATTTGATGATGAAGCTGTGGGGACAATGGCAACAGTACGATCCCCGGGAATGCATCATCGAGCTTTGCGGTGACGATATTCAAATGCTGCTCACACAGTGGACGCGAAGACTGCGTACGCATTCGATCTGGGCTCGTGACAATCAATTCCTCGAAATGCATTCGGGTAGTGGCCCGTGTCCAATCACTGCAACGACGACAATAGCCGAGCCATAACAATGTCTGGAACTCAGCACGTGTCCTGTGCTTTGCGAACCCCAGTGCATGGCTATGATCAACATTGGCGGCATATAATCGGCTCCACATCACGTGGCCGCTTGTTCTGGCTGCGAGTTGAGGGGGTGGACGGTGCTTATTTTTCTTTAATTTTTTTTTCTGGAACTTCTATTGCGTGGTGTGAAAAACTAATGCATGTTTCATAGGTCATTAACGTCAAGGATCCGTTTTAAGCGGTATTTGTGCAAAGTACAAAAATTGTTGCATCGCCCCTTGAAGCACACAGACAATTATTTCAACTTAATTTCCAGCCCCTTTGTGCTTTATTTGCAAGTAAACAACACTTTTTGTGGAGGAAGTTAATGCAGGTAAGACTAAACTATTGTCAGGTCATTCAGCAGTAATGCCGGAACTTGGCCCTATTGTGTTACAGTTACAGGACGTTTCCCTAAAAGTGTCTAGTATCAAGCAGGAAGAGCATTCCTTGCCGAGAAGACTGCATTGCGTCAAGCGAGGTTAGAGTGTAGTGACATAGCACTCATTTCAAGCAAATGGGCAATACATGAGTTGCAGAGAAGGCCAAAAATGTAGCGCGACTCTGCACGGACCTCCCATTACTCCCATCACATTAACCATTCATAATTGGAGCTTTCGCCACTGGGCAAGGCGGGCTGCACCTAAGCAGAACTCTTCTTCAAAAAGCTCCACTTCAGCATGTATATAACCTCACTTCACTGTGACAATCAGTTCATAGCAAGAAGACCATCCAACTCCATCCAATTCTATTAGCAGATGATGCATAGGTGTTCTTTTGTTTTTATTTTATTTTTGAATGACATCTTGTAGCAGACAAACCCCAATTCTTTGACCATGCAAACACACATGTCGTCTGCCAACACAATACCTTGACCCGCTCTGCGAGAGCCAAATTAGACATTGCTTTCGCTTTTGCCTTTGCAGCGAAGGAAATTGAAGCCAAGCAGATCTAGACACGTCAAACACAAATTAAGAGGCAAAAGTTTTCGGAGCGCGCCGAATGGACTTTGGCGACCAAAGCACACCGTGATCGTTGCAAGAGTCCGATTGGCGCGCTTCGTAAACTTCGGCCTCGACTTTGTGTTCGACGAAATCTGGGGCCCCAGGAGCGAGATCTAATGAAGTTTGAAGCACAGCTCCCATGAGCGGAACATTGGCCCAACTTACGTGTCATTGTCATGATCATCAACGAAGTTGCCGTAGAGCGCTTCCACGATGATGAGACCCCCACTTGCTTCCTCGGTACTTTTGATACGGATGTATGTTTCGTGCATTAGGGCAACCTGCAGCCCAATGATGCAATGAAACAAAAAATATACTAAAAAGAGGCTTTGTAGAGATAGTCATTGCAGGCTTTAAATACAGTTTGAAAGAACATACCGCCGCCTCCGCTTCTTTTCGACGCTCTGCCAGTTTTGCCGCGTTGGCTTCACGTGCTCTTGAGGCTTCCCTAAAAATCAAAAGTTGCATTGAAAAAAATTAATATACAAATAAACTGTTAATTATATAATGCAGAAAAGGCAATTTTTCCATCGTTGTAAAAATACAGCAAGCACACAGAAGATTTCTTGTTCTTTTTGGTCTTGTATTGTGAAAAATATGACTCAAAATCTGGCCAACAGATAAAGTCATGCTCCCTCCAAGCTCTCTGTGAAAAAATGTGTGTCCATCGCAAAGTTTTATTTCTTGAATTTTTCATTACACAAGTGCATTACATATAAAAAAAAGCTGTGGGAGGAGGTCCCGGCTAACAGGCGTAGCGTATACCAGCATACATTTTTTAAACAGTCTAAAATCAAAATGCAGCCGGTCTAAATGATACATGCTGATGCTAATTGAACTATAAGCTCAAATGTCTAGATGGGTTCAATCTATTTGGCCCACATGGTAGATGCCTGTATTATTTTGTTTTATGTTTTTTTGTTTTTTTTAAATTTCACTATTTGTATTTTACAGCAAAGCTGTATACCGCTACCAGTGAAAAGACGGTGAGTGTGCAGGCGAGCTGGTGGTAGCTAATCATGTCGTATTACACCTGAGACTGCGGTGGAAGAAATCGGAAGAATTTTCAGTAGAAGGAACAGACACAGAGAACATCTCAAAAATACCGCTACCAGCCAAGGAAATTTTTGTGTAGTCGTTGTAAGCAAAACAAACTCCCGGCGAACAATTGCAGGCAAAACAGCATATCTCCTTTGAAATCACGCATACAGCATACAGCTCAATATCCGTTTCAATAAAGAAAACCACAAAACAAGCATTAAAACCACATGATGGATCATAAGGCACGTGTGACCAATAGGAACACCCTCTTACGCGTTCCGGTCAAGATTAGATTTGCAGCTGCTTCAAAAGGGGTTGACGTCATTCGAAGCCCTCATGTGAAGTGCAAACCGTATAATGGATGAATGGATGATAACGGCGCCTGCTGCCACGGCGATGACAGTTTGCGACGTGGGGAGTGACGTCACTAGCCTTTCATATATAAAAGAACCTGCCTATACCCCAGTTCACCTGACGTCCCGACGCAGCGGGAGCTACGAGCTACCGTATTTACTCGCATAATAAACACAATCGCATAATGAACAAACCCCCCACAACGGGCATCAATATTTGGACTTTTTTTTTCCCTCCCACAATCAATGCACCTCCAATTTTCGGATCCGCGAGTCTCGAATTGCGTCCAATTTAACAAGCCACCAAGCCAGTTTTTTTATACTGCCAAGCCAAGCCGCTCGCGCAATAGACGCGAGTGCATAGTTGCGGTAGTTGCAAAAGTGATCAACCGGAAGTGATCAACCGTGAAACCGAATGTCGCGCACACTTTACGAAGCTTGGGTCGAGGAATTGTTGAGCCCCGGACATTCTTCACCTATCGGATGCATTGATGTCAACAAACAAGCCGTTGTCTGTAACCCGCTTTCGGACAGTGAAATCGTGAAAGTGGTTGGGCCTAATTTCACAAACTCCGGGTAAATGCGTTCATTTAATCCGTAACAGAATGGCACAGCGAAGTGCACACTGGAAGTGCGCACTGCACTGTAGGCTGAGTGCCTGGTAGCCCCTCCGTGAACGAAACTTGATCCGTGCGAGCGGGCTTCGGCAGTTGGTGATTGGACTTCGTACGAGTTCTTACACACGTAGTCGCAGATATACCTGAGCGTGCTGCCGGATGCTAGCAATATATATCGCCTAAGTAAGGTCGCGTTGCTTTTCGTGCTGAGTGAGCTTCGTAGGGTGCTTTTCCTTCGGCAAAAGGCACTCCGAAAGCGCCCTAAAAAGGTTTGCAATTTATAAAGCATGGTTACTTTGGCGCGCCCCCGACCAGCTGTGGGTGCGCCTCCATCACTGGAGACGTGCCACAGTACCTTGCCGTGTCATATTGGCACCTATATGACATTTGCACGAAGTGTGTATAAATGCAAAAATTTTACCCCATGTAATAAACGCCCCCCCAAATATGTGTCAATTTTTCGGGAAAAAAAGTGTGTTCATTATGCGAGTAAATACAGTATCTCAGCCCATCCCGTTCTGTGGACGCGGCCCATGATACGCTTTCCGCGCGTCGCTGTGCCCCCTCTCTAAGGTCACATGACACGCACACGGCCTCCGATTGGCTCCAATGGCTAAACGTAAGATGAAACGGAGTTTAGCAACTGATTTCATTGTTGCTGCAGCACCGCGATGAATAGGCCACGCATAGTTAGGACTCCCGAGGAGCAGCGTGAATACTAGGAGCGGCAAAGGGTAAAGAAATGGCAATACGACAGGCGCGGCATGCTGCGACGATAGTGCAGTAGGCAATTGTTGCAGGTGATACCACATCTTCGCTGACCAACCACCGTCCCAGCGTGGATTGGAGCCCCAATTTCTTTTTCTTGAAGAACCTATTTATTTTGATTGTCATACTTTTTTTACGTTATGCCTTACCTAACACTAACAGAAAAGTCTTCATGCCTTAGCTAACACTAAGAGAAAAGTCTTTTTTTGTTTGGGACACCTTAAAAATAAAGTAAATAAACAAACTTAATTGTGAAGTAATAAGGAGTTTTAGTAGACCGTGTTTCCCCCTCTGCTAAGCCCTCCACAACAAAGAAACCGCCACTGCACCTGCGTGCCGATGGCCTTGGCTGTAGAGTTCCGGGTAGCAGAGGAGCTCAGCGGAGGGGGAAACACGATCTACAAAAACTCCCCATTTTCTCACCAGTAATGCACCCTTTCTTCCTAAAAAAAATTGAGTTTAGTAATGGTTGCATGTTACAACTAGATCAAACAACCTGAGCCAGTAAAAGCTTGAAAACAGAACTTGGGAATTAAACCATCATTAACAAAACGTTTCACCATCATCCACAAATGGTTTCACAGTGTCCAATTTTTATTCTGAACAGCCTGCAATGACAACTTTTTGTTGCCTCAAATCCGCCAACTAGCCAAACCTCTGCAGTAAACTAGAGCAGTAATTTGCCATCAACCATGAACCAAACATAGTACTTGGGTGGCGTGCCAGATTTATTGTTTTACCTCGGCACTTCAATTGGACAGAAAGTGCATACTATAAAACCCCCAGCTATGTTTGCGAGAGAGCAACACAAACAAATGTCAATATGATTCAGTTATGGTTCAGGATTGAAAGCTCCCAATATGGACATTTTCTTCTTGTGCAGAGAATGCCCGCTTGGAAAACACAAGAAGAGGTACAATTGTACTCTACTCCACAATATTCCATAATAAATGCATAGCATTTAATAACAAAGAGGCCCAAAACTGTCTGTCTCTGTCGTTCCCCAGAGGTTAAATGAGCCAGCTTCTAACAGAGAATGTACTATATGGCTGGCCTCTAAATGTTTCCAACTCTCACACTTGAGGCGGATCCAGAAAATGCGAGCTCCCGCCAAACACTGACATAGCACTCGTCTCCTCACTTCTGGACACCATCGCCAGCTGACCGCCTTCCTCGAGTACATACATGTGTGTCACTCGCGGCAGGCGAAAAGCATAGCGTGTTCAGACATACAGTGGCGCTACGCTCATAGGATTTAGCGGGACACCCTGAGAAGGAATGCAAAAGAAGGCGACAGAAAATCGGAGAAAGAAAGCAGACGATAAGTTAGGCATGTTCACTTTGCCACGGCAGGTTGAGGTAGTTCTCATGGACTGGCACGTTCCCATCGTTTCTTCCTTTTTCTTCTATTTCTCACTTCTCCAACACATGTTTTGGATTGAGCCAATCTCGAGGAACCCGCAGCACGGTGCGACTCTCGTCTTTTCTAAAACACTTGCTTGTTCACGTGTTTTGCATGTTTGCAAAACGATGGTTGTAAGTACTTCTAAGAAACGTGGAGCGTGAATTGTATCAATGGGCTTTACTCTTCTCTGTTCCAGGACGGGTCAGGGCTAGAAATTACAACCCATGCAGTGCTCTAGTTGAGCATATATTTGCTCCTACCAAGTATTGACTGCATGACAGAAATGTTGCCAAATTTCATACTAACAGTTAAGGAATTAGATATAACTGCATGCCAGATTTTGCAGGAACTAATGTGAGAAGAAACAAACAATGTTTAAAACAACAGAGTGTCGAACCGATATTTTTATCGGTTCGGGTTCGGGTTCACGGCTTTCGGTTCAGTTCCGGTTCAGTTCCGGGGCGCAAAAATAACGGTTCAAACCGGTTCGAACCGGTTCAAACCGGTTTGAACCGCTAAATTGAGGATATATTTTCTGCGTTGTTCTGTCAATAGGCACTATTTAGGCCATAAAACTAGCTGCTGTAAACAATCTGATTTTTGCGAGGACCTATTTTTGAGAATTTCGCGAATCGCCTACAATTCGCAAAAAATGGGTCCCGCGAACAATTTCGGTAAAATGTAAACAGATTGGAATTTATAGTGAGATTCCACCGCGTCGAGAAAAATGACAACCCACGAATTATTCCAAAACTTCAGCTTTGACCTAAATCGCGAAATATTGAGCCCACGAAAAATAAGTCGTTTACAGTATATAGTTTTCTTTTTTATATCGTTTGTTCAATCCAGTTTTATTTTCAGGTACAAAAATTATAAAATTCTGTTATTTATACCTACACAACAAGAAAGGAAAATCTCCATTAACATACCAAACGTCGTGTTTATACGACTCAACCTCCCTTCGTTTACCAGAGTCACATACATTGTACCTGAATCGAAATGTTTTCGCGAAGTGAAGTAGGTTGCCTAAAATACCCGTGACAGGTACAACTTTGTATCGCAGTATTAGATGTTGAATCGTGGTTTTGCCCTTGAACTAAGAAATTAATTACAGTGAATAAAATCATGAAATGGGCACCTCGTCGCCATATATACCATAAAATGTGTTTTACGGAATACGTTTCACAATATATATATGACGACGAGACGACTGATCTTAAGGCAATATAATTTTAAAAATGTCACGAAAGTCATGGGACAAGTC